TTTTTCCTAGGAACAACAGGAAGACATGGAAGGTTTTAAGCAGAAACAAATGCACCTGTATTTGTGTTTTTGCCATTTTTCTGTCTGCAATGTGAGATGGATGAGGGACAGGTGAAAGAGGTGAAAAGATCATTAGAAAGCTATTTGGGTTTTCCAGGTGAGCAGCAATGATAGCTTGGCCTAGGATGTCAGAGAAAGGGAGACGACTTGGTGATGGGTAAGACTTGAGAGCTGGGGAAAGGGGAGGTGTTGACAACAAAGGGGTCTCAGGTTGCCTAGTTTGATGAGTGATAATGGCCCTTCCTGAAAGGGGGAGACATTTTGAGTTTCAGACATTTTGAGGTTAAGAATTTGTGAAGCATCCATAAGAATGGACCAGGCAGGCAGCTGACTACACAGATTTCAAGCCAGGAGACAGACTAGACTGGAGAAAAAATTGATAGCACATATTATAAAGGAGGCTGTGGATGAGCTTTCCTGGGGAGAGACTCTGGAGTACAGAATTGAGTCTGTCTTGCATCTGTTGACAAGTCTGTCTTGTCTTGAGTCTGTCCAATAACATCATGAAGCTCAGTATGTACATTCTGAATAAACGAACAAATAGATTCATGCATCAAGGTCGGGCTATTTGCTAGTGACTGAGGATAAAGAAAGGAAAGTTTCTCTGCCCTCTGTGTAATCTTGGTTTGGGTTGGTGTGATAAGATTTAAAAGAATGGGACAATGAGAAATTAACAAAGGAGGGATCAATAAGACCTTTGTCTACAAAAGAAGAGATGACTGAAATAGGAACTTAACAAAAACAGCTTCATATTTAGATCATCTCAATTATGGCATATTACAGTATCTGTCACCTGAATTGTTATTTTTTTTGTTAGTGATAATACCTTACAGAGCATTTTATGAAGTACTTGCATACTGATAACTGTATTTCATAATAAACTTTAACACAGCTCTGAAATACTCTTGATCTGTGCTCTGCATGTATATCCTACTTGAGTTTTAAAATCTTACCTCCAGTTATATTTAAATTTTTATGGGACTTTAAATTTTAAATCACTGGTCTTTTCTCAAACTTTACAAGACCAAAGACAGAACTGTGCTGTACATTTATTTCACAAACATGTCAAAAATAGTCTGTGTTTAAAAGCCACAGATTGGAAAACCACTATTGTCAATAGTGATGCACTGAGAATAAAACTTCCCCAGTAGATAAGAATTTGTTTTAAAAATAGGTAATTGATAGACGATCAATAAATAGATGATGGATAGATGGATGGATGGATGGATGGATGGATGGATGGATGGATGGATGGATTGATAATAGACAGATAATAGATGGATAGATAATGGATGGATAGATAGATATTAACAGATAGATATTTAGATACATAATAGAGATAGACAGACAGACAGATAGATAGATAGATAGATAGATAGATAGATAGATAGATAGATAGATAAATAGATAGATAGACAGACAGATTACCTAGGTTTCAGTCTCAGTACTGATCCTACTAACTTTTCCACCTATGGCAACCCTCAACTTCACGCTCTTCAGTTTTTCCTTCTCTAAAGGGCATCTCTTGGTTAATCAGTCATTCTCAGACGGGGTACCACAGAGCTGTAGAGGAAATGGTGAGGGCAGCAGAAGTGGGGAATAAGAGGCTGAGGCTCCAGAACACTTCCTCCCACAACCCCCATCCACTTTTCACTGTGTTATCTACTAGGACTACTTGTAAGGTGTTACTGGGAAATAAGGTTCTTCTGCATAAAACATTTTTAAAAGTTTGAAAACTACTGTCCTGAATCAGGGTCCTCCTGATGTTCTGATGTAATAGGGATGAGACCTAGGTATGTGCATCTTTTAAAATATCAACAGACAATTTCTCACCAAAAGCTTTCAAAACAAACAAACAAACAAAAAAACAAAAAGCTAAATGTATGCTCTCTAACCTCTCCTCTACTATTTTTATGTTCCAATTTCATTTGCAAAGTAACGAAGCACTAATGATCCATGGCATGGAAGATCAGAAAGAAGCAGAAGCAGCAAAGGGTCCAGTCAGAGACCATGCTGCTTAACATCTTTTGTCAAGGACAGAAACCAGCAGATAATTGCTGGACAATGTTTTCCTCTTTGATTCTCAGCATTGCAGCCTTGAGAAGGAAATAGCCAAGAGATACTTGGCTTTAACTACTCTCGGGCTAACAAACCTACTTAAAAAGAACACAAATGCTGTCCATGAAATTAAACCTCTGTGCCTTGCTGTGACATCCTGGAGCCAGCCTGGAGATCCAACTGAGGCAGAGACTTCAAGCATCCCTGAAAAAACTAGAATCCATGGACACTAACCCAATGGGATACAAACTGAATACCTCATTCTCTAAAAACCACACTCTGAGAAAAATTAGCTACCAAACAAGAAAGAGCATCATCTTGTAATAGAAATTCTCAAATATTGGACAGAATGAGTTATTCAACTCAACAGAGAGAGAGCAAACAGCAGAGAATGTAAATAAATAAATAAACACTATAAACCAGAAGCCTGGCATACACATTTCCATACTAACCAGCAACTAAAGCATCTTTGGGCCATCGGCTGAACCAGTCAATTGTGCATCCTGAAATTAAGGCAGGGAACTTCAAAGCTCTGTTTCGAAACTTCTCCCCCACTGGCGAGAAGCAGAGTACAATATGAAGGTTCTGTCGGACCCGACTCATGAAGTAGTCGTGCAGGTTCTCATTGGTAGGAGGGCACTTGGGGAATTCTTTTTTCATGACTGACACCAGGTTGCTACTAATTTCATCAGTTTCATCTCGCGCAAATAGATTAGAGACCTTAAAAAGAAGTACAAGCATGCAAATTCAGTACACACACAGGAAAATAGATCAAAATGTAGAGCTTAATACATAGAATGTCTTTTCTCCGTTTGTGTTCTCGAACTCACCTAACGAAAATTAACTGAAAGTTTTCAAGATGAAATACACCACGTTTTAAAATAAACAAATGATTCTACTATTAACTGCAAAATTGTAGCTCTGGGAGGGAGTAAACGGACATGCCAAAAATCTAATTAGCTTTCTTTCTAACTTTGCCCTTCTGTTTTTTTCATTTGTTACTTGGAACATTCACTGATGTTTTAAATGCCTAGCTCCAAATTTTGATGTAGAGTTTTATTCTTCAAAAACCCAATAGAAAAACCCATCCTTCATACTGATGACTTAATACCCATTCCCAATAGCACTTTTCATGCCATTAACGGAAGAAAATATGTAGAGCTCTAAGTTGGAGGAAATCTGAAGGGATAAAACACATAAAGAATAAATGAATTCCTACCTCACCTGATGATAAAACATTGTTCATATATTCCAAAAATGATTCATCTTTAATCTCATTGTCTGTGAAAATAAAAGTGATTCCTTTGCCTTGCTGACCAGCCATTCTATACAAAACCTTCAGATCTTCCATCAGATTTGATGTGTTGTAGGATCTAAAGAAATATTTTCATTTTGTCATTAGCCAAAGTGTTTTCATGAGAGGGAAAGAACCTTGTAACAATGCATTATGCCATTTAGCAACCAAAAAAGAAAAAAAAAATGCTGATTTTGTTCCATCATATAGGTATGTGTTCTATATGAATGTTACTGATTAATTTTTAAAACTCCACATTTCATAAAACATTATAATTAATGTTTTTGCACCAAAAAAACTATACTGAAAAGTTAACCTGGAACAAAACTAAAATTTTTACCACAACCAAATGTCATTACATTTCAAAATGTATCATTTTGAAAATTTTTTGACAATGATAATAGAAAAGTCAAATTCAATTACTGATATTTGATTGGCAATGGGTATTTGAGATGACAATTCACAAATTAAACTAAATAAATGCAAGCTTTGGTTATACAGGGTGGGTGAGATGCCATGCTATAAACAATGCCTTCCTCATCCCCCAACACCATTATCATCATTGCACGTTTGTATTATGCATAAATGAGCTTGTTTTCTGAGCAATCAGTACACTGTACTAGAATACCTGGAAATGTTAAGAAATATCCCACTCTGAAGGTTCTATAATTACCCAAAGTGATCTTTAGGTGGAAATAAACCTACAATCAAGAAATATTAGAGAGTTCCCACTGTGGAGTGCTACATTATGCCAAAAGTATAAATAAAATTATCCCAATTCTGGAGACTCACACTTACTAAATTATTATTCCTACTTTAGTCACTAAATAAACTCAGAATTCAGAGTGCAAGAGCAAACAGCCATCTGATTTTTTTAAAACTAGTGAATACTTAACTCTACCTTTTTCTAACTTCTGTAACCTATACCCTAGAATTGGAAATATTACAACCATGCATCAATACTTCCAGAAGACACCTAGAGAAGTGAGATCAGAAAACAAATACTTCTAGAAGACACCTAGAGAAGTGAGACACCTAGAGAAGTGAGATCAGAAAACAAATACTTCTAGAAGACACCTAGAGAAGTGACATCCGAGAACTCAAAATACAAATACTTCTAGAAGACACCTAGAGAAGTGAGATTCAAGAGATCAGAAAACAATTCAAAGACACAGCCTCCAAAAAAGAAAGGAAGAAAGGAAGGAAGGAAGGAAGGAAGGAAGGAAGGAAGGAAGAGAGAGAGAGAGAAAGGAAAAGGAAAACATCTCACCCAGCTTCTTGTGATATGGGGAAAATTTTCAACCCAGTCTCTTGGATCTCAAGGGCCCACTGCCTCAAATAACACGACCTAAGACACCTAACAAATAGTCGTGCTTCCCAAGTGAGAGGCTCTTGCATCTCAGCCTTAGCCACATGGCTGTACAAAGCCTTTAGAAGTTTGATAACATCTTGAAAGCTATGAAAAGGAAAGAAAGACCCTGGCCCTTCGTCTCATCAGTAATGGATCATTCCTGGTGTGACATGTAGAGGAACTAGTCTGCCACAGTGAGAGTTGTGGTTGAATACACTGGCTGCGCCGTTGTGGTGCAGTAAAAGTCACACCAGAATAGAAACTGGAAGTCTTACAATCAATTCCCAGATAGATCCAAGATGATGGGCAAGCCATAGCCTCTCTGAGCTTCAGCTGCAAGATGGGCTGCTGCTATCTGTCCTACTAACTCACGAGGATTTTTGAAGATCAAATTAGCTCATGCATATAAAAGTGCTTTGAAAACTACAAGGTTTTATACGAATGTTAGGAACAAAAATTTGATTCCCATCCCTTTCCTGTACAAGTTGTCTTTCATGTAGCTTGGTTCCTAACCAAAAACTAGAAGAATCATATGCAATGTAACTAGAATTATTTCTCTCTGTCCCAGTACTTGAATTAAACAGTAATCTTTGGATTTATTCTCCAAGAAGAACCCTATAGGTCAGACAAAACAAAAAGTGTAACAATAGCTTAAATATTTGAATCTCCAAACCCAATGCTCAGTAACTTTCAGCCTTCATCCTAGCAGGTATCTATGGGCCTCCCTCAATGAGACAGGTCAGCAACATGTTCTGCTCATCAGTGCCCGACTTCTTGCTCCTACACCTAGAAATTAATGTCAAATGATTTTCAGCCCAGCCTAACTTCCCAAACTGGCCTCCTGGTTCTAACCTTATCTTGGTTAATCCTGAAAAATCTGTTTCACCTCTCCAAATCACCTCTGTTTATCTCTTCATGTTCACTTTTCATGTGATAATTATGTTTTCTCCCTGCACTACACCCACATCTGTGGTCAACTCCTCTGGGTTTCCCTGTCTTGATAAGTAGCAGCACCATCTAGGTAGTTTCCCAAGCCAGAAACCAGGATGCACCAAGCCCTGAAGCTCCAACTTCCTGATGATCTCTTCCATCTCCACTCTCTATTCTCCATTCTCACTGCTGCTACTCATGACACCATCATGGCTTGCCCAGACCCCTGAAACAGCCTTACAACTATTTCAATTTAGTTCCGTCTGTCTATTTTCTGTATATAAAATGTACTTGACATGTCCTCCCTAGGGGCAACTCATCAATGGTTTCCTATTGCTCTGGGATGAAGTCTGACTTTTTATCTTCACTTTAAAAGGCCTCCATTTCTCTTCCATTCCCACTTGCCACCCTACACTGTACACTCTGCAGTATTTAACTTCTTCCAGGGCTGACTTCACCTGTGCTGATTCTTCTGCCTGGAACATACTTTACTGTTCTTCTGCTCTCAGTCTTCCCATATCGAGGTTTCAGTTTAATCACTTTCTCCAGGAAGTCTTTTCTAATCATCCCCTAGACTAGGTTGGGAGTTCTTCCCTCAAGCTTCAGTAGGATTTGGTCTGCATGTATTTCCTTATCATGGATGGTGCCTATGAATCACACCTTATTGGGGGAGTTGGTTGCTTAGTCGTCTGTCCCCTTGAGTTGCTACAAAGTCCCTGACGATACAGCTAGACTCACCTCGTTCACCCAGCCAGGGCTTAACACATAGGCAGCGTTCAATAACTATTTTGAAACGTTTGAATGAGTAAACCAATATTCATCTATTTTTCCACTGTATTAACATTCTTGAAATCTGAACTAACACTCAATAGGGACAATTTTCTTCTGAAATTCACCAAAAGAAGTGCACGTAAGACACTATCACATATAACATAAAAGCAGGGAGGCGGCTACTAAGTGAGAGTTCGAAAGATTTCAAAAGCAAATTATGAATGTGAAATGTTTATGGTCTCTGACAAAGGCTGACAGAGGAAGATGATAAGTCAACATTCAAGAAGGAAAACGACTGTGACTCTTTATACGTAAGGGAAATGCATTTGAACTTCAGGAGGCCTCTGAGCACCTTTTATCAAAATCCATGTTACGTTAGTTAAAGTAAAAGCTTGTCACCTCGTCAGAGTGATCTGGAAGGAAATGTAGCCGGCAATGAATGAAGCCAACCTCGTCAGGCTCTGCTTTCCTGATCCGCCCACCCCGACCAGGAGGGCATTTCCCCGAGGAGTACGAATGACACGAGAGATCTGTAATACAGAACAAAAAAAGCATGTATCTTTCAACATGTAAATGTTCTATTTTTCCTATTTATTCACTATATGAATGAGGTCTAATTATTATTTTGGAAGACACAGGTGTCTCAAGATCAGACTGGAGATATACTGGTTGAAGGAATGAGGGCACTTCTGAAATATGGAACAGTGTTGGGCTGCATCAGATGGGGTGGGAACCATGGGGTGTGCCTTTAGAAACCAGGAGGACACCAGGGCAGAAAAGTCAGCACACAGCCCAGACTGTGCTTGCTCTGGCTTTTAAAGGAGATTATCTATCTAAAGGTGACTTTGAGGATTCCTGTTAGTTGGTCCGACCCAATAGGGTATGATAGGAAGGAGAACAGAAATGTCAGAAAATGTCTACCCTTGGCATGCAGGACATGTGGTTGATTAGAATATCCTCCACATCTGAAAAGCGTTCAAATTTAAATTGAAGGGAAGAAAACCCCCCAAAATAAGGTGATATGCGTTGGCTGTGTCCCAACCCAAATCTCATCTAGAATTGTACTCCCATAATTCCCATGTGTTGTGGTGGGAATTATCTCCCAGTGGGAGATAACTGAGATAACTGAATCATGGGGGCGGCTTCCCCCATAGTGTTCCTGTGGTAGTGACTAAGTCTTATGAGATCTGATGGTTTTCTCAAGGGTTTTTGCTTTTGCATCTCCCTCATTTTTCCTCTTGCCGCCGCCATGTAAGAAGTGTCTTTCGCTTCCTACTGTGATTCTGAGACCTCTCCAGCTATGTGGAACTATAAGTCCAATTAAACCTCTTTTTCTTCCCAGTCTTGGGTGTGTCTTTATCAGCAGCATGAAAATGAACTAATACATGTGGTATAGATGTTGGGACTTTAAAAAGAAAGAAAATGAGCATAAACACCCTCCTATTACTTGGCAAAGACAGTGATACCTAAGATATCTACCAATAAGTGATTATAGATTGGCCGGGAGGGGGGCCACTTAACGCTATTCAATAGCCCCAGACTATTCCACAGCCCCCTTGTGGCAGAAGTCCATGTTTATTTGGCTTCGTTTGTGTTGAATGGACTAATGACACCATCAGTCTTCCAAACCTACCCAGGAGAGACTGAGTATAGAATTCCCCTTGATGTTCTTTATACCTTATGTGAGAACTGTTTCTCTTTCCCTCCTAACTGCAGTTTGAGCCTAGGGGTATCACTGCGATGTCCACCTTTCTTAGAAGAATGATAGAGGCTGGGCAGGGACTGGAAGGGGTCACTTCTCCATGGCCAGGGAACCTTCCTGTAGTCACTGGGGCTCTGCATTCTGCCAAGGTTTTGTTAAACATCCTTTCTCAGAATTCCCTCACTAGCTGCAGTACATTCTACTCCTGCTGAAAATATGTCTGGTTTTGAATTACTTTCCCCAGTTTAGTGTGAACCTTGGGAAAAGGATAACATATTTTCCATCTCTATGTGGACCTGAGAACCTGCAGGACTGGCAAGTGCATATGCCCTGTTTTTCCAGCCTCCTGCTTGTCTCCTCTATGTGATTCTCGCCAAAGTCATTGTGAGTGGAGAGGGTCATACATGCCTCTTCAGATCTTCCCCTGACACAGCTTCAGGAGGGAAAGACGGGGCAAGTAAAGAGCTACTGGAAGCCACACTAGAACATTCTGTGCCTTTCCTTGCTTGCCACTTTTCAACCATCATCATTTCCTTTGTTTGATGTGGGTGGATATATCAAGATGTCGTAAATTAGGTATTAAGCAATCTTCATCCCAAAACCTTTACTTGGAACTGGGCCAAGGTCTTATATTAAAATGTTCTATTCTCAGTTTCCAACACATGGTAAACCCGCAAAACATATCTGACAAAGGAATAGATACATGAACAGAGAAGGCTTGCAAAGCAGACTCAAAACCTCATAATCTAGTTAAATCCAGCGAGACTCTCAAATACGGCTATTTTGTCCTGTTATACGCAGATTGTGTGATGGAGATATGTGTTTTCAATTTCATCAGCGAGTATTCAAAAATGAATAATGTCCACCCTGCCCCTCAGGAGCTCACACTGGAACAGGGGACAGAGGCTGGGGTCATGAGCCACGGTGAGCACTGGCACAGAGACAGGAGTGATGGGCAACCAGAGGAAAGAATGCCCGGAAACATCCCCGCCTGGGTGAGGTAAGTCTTAGGTGCAGAGCTGGACTTTGACCTGGATGACTAGAAGTATATCACACAAAGAAGGTGGTGTGCCAGGCACGGGCTGAGCTACCTTTTCAGAAGGAGTGAGACACACAAAATCTCAGAATTAGCAAAAGGCCTGCAGTGTCCCCTGAGGTGAGAACTTCAGTATGGGATATGGAAATACCAGGAAATAAGGCAGCAAAGGATTGTTTAGGACTTATCTGGGGGACTTGATTAAATTCCAAACAATGTATCCAGATTCTCTGTGTGGTTCTCAGCGGTGGTCCATCCTGTCAAGACAGAGGTCACTAAGACGGGAACCCACCCGACTAGAATCTAATCTTCTGATAGGGAGACAAACACACAGACAGATAAACTTTCCACAAGGTAGTATGGGTGGGGAATGCATGTTGGGGAGGCGCTCCAGGATCATGATATGTTTACCCACCAGCAGCCTGTTGTTCTGGATCACACCCCAGGCAGAGCATGACTCAGGAGGCTGGCTGGTAAGCAGGAACTAGATCATGCAAAACCATGTACACCATGGTTTGAACTCTCACCAAAGAGACAAAAGAGGCATCACACAGATACACTGTACTGAAAGAAAATTGAGTTTCTAACTAAGAAAGGAACTAAGAAATAGGCTTGGTCTCATATCATATCCTGTTTTGCTGCAGTTTTTGCCTGCAATTCTGACTCTTGGCTTCTATCGTGCCGTGTAACTAGGCCACGTATTTCAAGGCTCACAGCAGCATGACACAGAGTGTGGATGCGCTGTGCACAAAAGATGAGAGAAGACAGGGCCAGCGGGGAAGTGGAGAGGAATGCAACATTTTAGCTCAAAAACTCTAGTCACGGATTCTTCGGCCAATTCCAGAGCAGACAGACAAGAGGCAGAGAGTGAGAGAAAACACCAGCGAGGCCGCAGCACCGAGGCCTTCACACCTCCAGCATCACACCCAGAGTGTTTTGAGAAAGCCTCCTCACTCTTCATCTGGGCTGCGAACCATGGAGAAAACGGCAGTTCCAGTGAACTTGCTCAAGCACGACACTTAACATAAATAACTGCATCTTCAGCTTGAGCTATGAAATCCCAGGTCAATCGGATTTTGTCTCTAGCAGGCAGGCAATTTGTCATGAAATTGCCTTTGGTGATACTCACTTAGAAAATACATTTTCCCTTTTCTTTTTCTTCCTTTTAATTATTAAAAATGACATAATGTTTATTCTTCCTGAAACAACACTTAATTGACTATAAATTAAGAGCTCATTTCAAAATGTTATTTATAGTTGGCTGTGGAAGAATATTTGAGCTCATAATTCAGTACAGATGTCTCAGATTCTACGAATCCACAGAGTTGCCAAGCCAAGTGCCCTCGTGCTGGGGAGACCCAACTCCCGAACAACCCCTCTGTCTTCCTTCCCTCTCTCTGACTTACTCCAGCCTTGCAGAAATGCTTTTCTCACTTTCTTGCAGGGAAGAGGAGCAGACAGGCAATCCCTATATTCAGCAGAATAGTTGACTAGATAACCTCTAAAACCCCCTCCATGTGTAGATTCGGTAATTTCTAGAGGTGACAATTTGTAATTATGCAGTGGTTCCTCATGGTTGAACCTAAGATCATGGGAGACAAGGTCAAATCATTTTCTTTCTAACTAAAAGGATGTAGTCTGGAAAAGTAGTTGATATCAACAAAGTGAGAATATCAACAATGGATTTTAAATGGCATTATCTTGCACTGTAGATAAATTAAGTCACATACGTTTTCAAACAAAATAATACATTTTACTTCCAACCTTTCAGGATCAACTGTTCTAAAAATGGATATGGTAATGACTCATATCAGCAGTCACTAACCTTTTTGGCACCAGGGACCAGGATCGTGGAAGACAATTTTTCCACGGATGGGAGGGGGGGGTGGGTGATGGTTTGTGAATGATTAAAGCGCATTACATTTATTGTGCAGTTGATTTCTATTATTATTACATTGTAATTTATTATGAAATAATTATACAGCTCACCATAATGTAAAATCAGTGGGTGTCCTGAGCTTGTTTTCCTACAACTAGATGGTCCCATCTGAGGGTGATGGGAAACAGTGACAGACCATCAGGCATTCCGTTCTCATAAGGAGCGTGCAACCTAGACCCCTCATATGAGCAGTTCACAATAGGGTTCGCGCTCCTCTGAAAATCTAATGTCGCTGGAGGCAGAGCTCAGCTTCACTTGCTTACCTGCTGCTCACCTCCTGCTGTGCAGCCCTGTTCCCTACAGCCCACAGACAGGTACTGGTCTGTGGCCCAGGGGCTGGGAACCCCTTCTCATATGACAAACTAGAATAGAAATTATATTTTCCTGGTGGATTTCATTCTAACAGAATTTTCATCTCAAAGTCAACCGTTTACACACTATTTTTAAATTATTGTTTCTAATCATGGTAAAATACACATAATCTAAAATTTACCACTGTAACCATTTTTAAGTATATTGTTCAATATCATTAAGTACATTTACGTTGCTGTGCAACTATCAGCACCACTGATCTCCACAACGCTTTTCATCTTGCAAAACTGAAGCTCCGTACCCATTTAACACTAACTCCCCAATCCCCTCTCCACCCAACCCTGGAATTCTCCACTCTACTTTTTGTCTCTGATTTTGGCTACACTGGGGATTTAGATGAATAGAATTATACAATATTTGCCCTTCTGAGTCTGGCTTACTTCACATAACATAACGTCTTCAAGGCTTATGTACTATTTTTTATAGGATATTCTTTGCATGATACAAAAAGATGCAGACTTTGCCTGTGCTCTGAACTCAGATGTCAACCATATTCAGCCTCCGTGGTGAAACCATGGAGCTGGAAGCTATATAGAAACACTGAATAAAATTATCACATCACACATTTAAAGTACACAGGCTCTTATTTCAAGCCTATAAGGTGCGACATGTTGCATTCAGCTTAGAAATTAAATTGGAATATAGCATGGAGTCTAATTTTAAACTGAAGATTCTCCTAGGAAATGAAAATAAAAGAGGGAGAGGACTCTGGCGTGAAACCAAATGTCTGTCACTACCACAAGGCACTACTCGGAGCGGCTACCGTACCTTGACTAAGTGAACCATGGCATCTGCAAAGAACACCATGTCCATGCCAGCGCCACGGATACTCTCATTATACAGCTGCAGGAACATATTCAGACGCTCTTTTAGGCGACTAAAAGATTCAATGGGCTCATACATTTTAGGCATTTCAGCATTAGCCTCTTCAGATGTTTCACCTTCGGTGGGAAAGAAGAATCAGTTAAGTTTCTTCAAATACCTGCATTTTGCCTTCAACCTAAATTAATGCAATCAAAGCTCTACAGCCTAACACTGAATAACATTCATCTTAAGCAAAATGCCATAGTGTGCATTTTGCAAAAACAGAAGAAAGGAAACAACAGAAGCATTAGGATTTTTGTGATCATATGCAGTCTGTACTTTCCTATCTAGCAAGTCAATTTCAAATAATGTTATCGTCATTGAATTGAATTTGAACCCACAACTGATTGTTGGCATTTCAAAGCTCCTCCCAGACATACTAGCTTAATGGTCAAGTGAAAGTCAAAACAGTAGGGACTGAATGTCAGAATCAGCAAGGGAAGTTAAGAACTACATAACTGCGGTGAAACCCCATCTCTACTAAAAATACAAAAAACTAGCCGGGGTGGCGGGCACCTGTAGTCCCAGCTACTCAGGAGGCTGAGGCAGGAGAATGGCGTAAACCCAGGAGGCGGAGCTTGCAGTGAGCCGAGATCGCGAAACCGCACTCCAGCCTGGGGGACAGAGCAAGACTCCGTCTCAAGAAAAAAAAAAAAGAATTACATAACTGTTTGATAAGAATAAAAAGAAAAAATTATTGTGTTTACTCAGGAAATTTTTATAATTCACGAATCTCAGGTCAGTGGTAAAAATAGAAGTGACTTATAATATGGGGTGGAGGATTGAGAGAAATAGAAAAACAATTTCCTAAATGAATAAACATATTAGATTATTTCACTAGGGCAAGATGTATTAAAATCGATATACTTTTTTAAAAAATTAGAAATATATAACATACCAGCTTAACACTTTTACAGTATTAACTACAAAGCAGAGGCCGAGGTGGGCAGATCACTTGAGGTCAGGAGTTCAAGACCAGCCTGACCAACATGGTGAAACCCCATCTCTACTAAAATTACAAAAATTAGCTAGGCCTGGTGGTGTGTGCCTGTAGTCCCAGCTACTCAGAAGGCTGAGGCAGGAGACTCGCCAGGAAGCCAAGGTTGCCATAAGACAAGCCTGTACTCTAGACTGGGCAACAGAGCAAGACTGTTTCAAAAAAAAAAAAATCATAATACCCAAGAAAAAGCTAAATGGGGCATCTATAAATTCACAATCAATTAACATTAGCAGCAGGGGAAAAAAAGGGACACATTAGCTGAATATACCAATAACAACTTAGAATTTCACCGGATACGAGAAGAATGAGTGGATCTTTCAAATCTTACGGCGTATAATTATTTTCAATTGACTGTGTCCTAACATAATACTATATTAACCTTTTGATAACAAACAAGGAGATGGTTTAACACAATCATTAAGACTGACCTATCTGCAAAGCTCTCACTAATCAAATTCCAATAGTCACAACTCTTATAAATGCCCATATCAAGCTTTGAGAAACAAAGTGTCTCAATGACACAAAAGATTATGCATTTGTCTCTAGACCCTCCCCCAGGCCCCCAAAATGCAGCAGTTGTATTTTGGTCCTTGAAAAATCATAATCTGGTTATTTATCCTTCTGAATTACAGGGAATAAATTACACAAATTTTAATTATCTTGTAAGATGTCCTTACTCTTACAGGATTTTTGTACGTGTTTGACCTGATTGAAATAAAATGTGTCAGCTTCTTTCTGTAGAAGGATCATTCCAATTGCATTGCCAGAAATAAACATTCTTTTGCAATTGTCACTCAGAAACTTTTGACAGATCACACTTATGGTTATCAAATCTAGAGAGGCACTGCCTAGTCGTTTCCAATCATTTTCAAGATATACATAGCATATTTTTAAACATGCTTTTAAAAATCTGCAAATTAACTTAAAATCCATCCTCAGTATTAGAAGAGGTTATTAAATGAAAGAAAAATATTTTTAATTAAGCCTAGTTGCTTCTGAGGGGGGAAAAAAGTGGAGCACTGCCTCTTTTCATAAGAAAAGTCATATATCTCAATTTCCCCTGGAACCATAATCACAAAAGCTTGCCCCACATCAGCCATCTCATTCCAATTACATTTAATGACCCTCTCATACATTTGGAAGTTTTCCTTTTTATTTTCAACATTGAGGATGACCTGAATAATAATAATTATAATTATATTTGCGGCCTTTCATTTAGCAGTGACTACGGGCCATAGACTGCCCAAGCCATTCTACAGATAACATTTCATGGACTCCCCATGGTGCATGTGATGCATATAGTAACACTTTTACTTTCATAAATGAGGAGAATGAGGTTCAAGAGAGTGCCGAGATGCCCAGCTAATTAATGTGTGGTGGATTCCTTCCTCAAACTCACCTCTATCTGCCAGACTGCAAGTCCTGTGCACTCTCTCCTACCCTATCCTGCCTCCCCACTCTACTTTAATATCCAAGCATGATATGCATAAAATAGTTCATCTTTAAACTCCATGATCATGCATTTATTCACTCATCCTAGTTTTACAGAGCATCTACTATGTCTCAGGCTTGAATCAGTAAAGTTTACTAGAAAGAAACTCAACACCCATAAACTGAATCTTCTGTCTTCAGATTTCCCTTTAGGGAACACCTTTTGGGGAATTCCAAATTCCACTTCAATAGTTTACCTGCAGCTTCAGGCGCATCTCTCAAGAAATCCACAAAATATGTGTCAATTCCACAATCGACCAACAGTTTTTTCTCTTCACCAAACTCCTCCTCTACCAAACTTACTAAAGCCTTATCAAACCAGGTCACATCACTGGACACTGTGAAACGGTCAGCTATAACACGTTTACATTCATGCTTCCAGAGCTTTAACAGGTCCTGTTGAAAGTATAATTAAAATGTGTTAGTAATTTCTATTATGCCGTAACTGGGAATTCAAGTTGACAGTACTGTAGAGTATTATTCTTCCTGATTGAAGATGCAACATTTTAAAAAGTTAGGGTTCAAATATGCTCAACTTCACTTCAAATGGGTATCATTTAAGTATATTAAATAGAAAGTAGTCTGTTCATTTGCAGTCTCTGAATTAAGAAGAAAAAATCCTCCAACAATAATATTGAAAATTGCTCTGACCAATCAACAAACTAACATTCTACGTAAGAGTCTTCAGCTTGTGAAAAATTAGTCTTTTAATAAGACATCTACATTCATGTGGCCAGAGTACAACATAAGATATAAAACATGAACAACTCTCATGTATACAACTGAAAAATTACAAAGGTGTATTCACTTAACACAAAGTGAATAAAATTTGTGGCAAAAACTGGATTATCTGAACAAAAGAAAGCCAGCACCTAATCCAGATAATCCAAGGCCCAAAGTTAACTGCAAGTTGAGGAAAGTAATTGCTCAATACTCCTGTTTATATAGCAAGAACAACAAATGTATGTGTAAGCTCATTATTTTATATGAAAGACTGGTGGAAATTTCTTAGCTTCGTAACATTTTTCAGGTTACAGATTTTTAGGCCATTGCATTACTAGTGATAGAATGCTATCTGGTTGCCTGAATATAAAAGGAGTTCAGTGAAGTATATTCAATGATGCAGTTAAGACAAAAGTTTATTATAACATCACTTGCTGGAATTGTTTATGCTGATTTAAAATAAGCATCAAAAACGGATACTTCAATAGTAATCTTTGAGAACTGACTTCAACAATTCCATTAACTTGTAAATAACTTTGAGGGAAAAAAATCAAGTTAAAATATTCACGCTGCTTAACAGACTCTCACTTCTCTGCAGGAAGGAAAGTGAGTTTTCCCCAAAATATCATTAACAGATGCTTCTCAAAAGAAGACATACATGTGGCCAACAAACATATGAAAAGAAGCTCAACATCACTGATCATTAGAGAAATGCAAATCAAAACCGCTATGAGATACAATGTCAAACCAGTCAGAAAGGCTATTATTAAAAAGCCGAAAAATAACAGATGCTGGCAAGGCTGCAGAGAAAAGAGAACACATATATGCTATCGATGGGAGTGTAAATTAGTTCAAGCATTGTGGAATGCACTATAGTGATTCCTCAAAGAGCTAAAAGCAGAACTACCATTTGACCTAGAAATCCCAGGGTATATACCCAGAGGAATATAAACCATTCTACTATAGACACATGGACGTGAATGTTCACTGCAGCACTATTCACAATAGCAAAGACACAGAATCAACATAACTGCTCATCAATGGCAGATTGGATAAAGAAAATGTGTTACCTATACACCATGGACTACTACACAGCCATAAAAAAGAATGAGATCATGTCTTTCATGGAAACATGGATGGAGCTGGAGGCCATTATCCTTAGCAAACTAACGCAGGAACAGAAAACCAAATACCACATGATACGTCCCTACCCAAATCTCATCTTGAATTGTAATCCCCATAATCCCCACATGTCAAGGGAGAGACCAGGTGGAGGTAATTTAATCACAGGGGAGGTTTCCCCCACGGTGTTCTCCTGATACTGAGTGAGTTCTCACGAGATCTGAGGGTTTTATAAGAGGCTCTTCCCCTTTTGCTCTGCACTTCTCCTTCATGCCATCTTGTGAAGAAGGTGCCTTGCTTCCTCTTCATTTTCCACCATGATTGTAAGTTTCCTGAGGCCTCCCCAGACATGCTGAACTGTGAGTCAATTAAACCTCTTTTCTTTACAAATTACCCAGTCACCAGCAGTTTCTATGGCAGTATGAAAACGGACTAATACACCGCATGTTCTCACTTATAAGTGGGAGCTAAAAATGAGAACTCATGAACACAAAGACAGAAATGACAGACACTGAGGTCTGCTTGAGGGTGGAAGGTGAGAGGAGGGAGAGGAGCAAATAGATAACTTTTGGGTACTGGGCTTAATACATGGGCGATGAAATAATCTGTACAACAAGCCACCATGACACATGTTTACCTATGGAACAAACCTTCACATGTACCCCCAAAGCTAAAATAAAAGTTAAAAATAAATCAACAAATAATTTAAAAAAGAAAAAATAATCAGCAAGTTTGGTTACCTATATTGCAAGCATCTGGGACAATGGTGGGTTTTTTAAGTAATCAACACTTGTGCTTAATCAACAGTTTTGTTGATATTTTAAGTGTCTCTGTGTGTTTATATGGAGAAATCCCCTGAAACCCATTTGCTTAATTACTTCTTTAGCTCTAGAAAGGCTTAAAGAGAGGCCAACCCTGTCTTAGCCTGGGCACATAGGCTACGCTTTGGAACAAAAGCATACTGGATTTCTACATAGCGTTCTTAGTTTGAGGGAAATTCTTATAACACTGGGAAATGTCATATTCAAGTGTGTGTACAAATGATCATTTTTCTATTAAATGAACTTTGTAATCTGCTGCGTCTCTTCAATTTTACCAATGTATGTAATTCTTTTAGTGCATCCAGTTACATGGAAAAGAAAAATCATGGATGATTATCAACAAAATGGGTTTTTTAAATTTTGAATATTTATTATAAAGATAATTACTTTTTAAGTTAAAATGTCAAGCTTAAAATATGAAGACTATTATACAATAAAATCCACAGTGGTTGTTTCTATTATTTAGTACAAGAAACATATCTTCTTCTTAGACTAGAAGTGGGAAAATAAAATCAATTATTTCTTTTATTCTATTCGTTAAAAAGTAATTGTGTATATGATGCTCTGAAACACAAACCTAGTTGGAATTTATCATTGACATTTTCTGACAGAATTTACTTCTTTCATTATGTTAGTTAAAATGCAGTAAAGAATACCCATGCTGAAACATTCCAAAATATGTTCAAAGTTCAAGTAAAAAATAAAGTAGTAAAAATATTTAAAATACATGATTAATAGCAATGTTATTTGTTTTTCTTTCCTCAGTGTCACCTACATTTGGTTCCTTGATGACCTCTGAAGTAGTGTTCAGCATTCCCTGCCAGATCCGAGAAAGATCTCGTAGGTTAAACACATAATGGAATTTTGCAGGCGTAGGCAGCATTTTCATCTTGGTCATCTGCCATAGTCGGCGTGTCAGGGGCACCAATCTTGTGACAGAATCTCTCACATCTTCTGAGAAACCCCTCTGAGTACAGTAGTAGCCTACCCCAATCACACCTGAAAGGGGGGAAATTACAGCATTTTGATTAGCCATTCAACGAAATTAAATGAAAATGAAAAACATTATAGCATAGAGTGTGCACACGTCATTAAACATTTTAATAGATAACCATATATAAAAGAAAAGTATGTTAATGTTCTCTTGCTTTTTCAAATACAGTATCCCAAAAAATAGATACAGGTTTAAGAAAATGAGTATTCAAAACACTGAAAAATTGATTAAGAAATACTGCTGAAAACTCTGGCTGCACCACTTCAATATTACTAAATGGGTAACAAAGATAAATGTATGAAGTTACCTTATAATAAGATAAGAAAAATATTTTTATAAGTCCTCTAAGGTTTCTACTTTCTGTCGTTGCCTTTCCATGCACTATAAACTACTTTCATTTACTTTATATGTAAAATTTTCCAGGCAATAAGGAATAATTAAAAATGATAACATTCTTTCTGTTCCATTTTACTTTTCCCAAGCTTAGATAATTCCAATGTCTGTTGGTTTCCAGACCTTGCTCCCTGCTGTGACTGGAGATTACTGCCACACTTGACTAGCCGGGGGCACCCAGATGACATTTTCGTTTGCCAGAAATTAATTAGGGTAATCCTGATGAGCTTTTTCTCAATAGCAGCTTCAGAAATTGTACACTAAATACTTAACATAAATGTGTTCAAACTTTTACATTCTTTCCTGCACAAATAAGTTATAAGTGCATTATCATTACTCGGGTAGGCAAACATGGTTACTTATTTGGCTAGTGATTGTTCAGCTAAATTATCTACGAAATACTCCATATTTAATCAATAACTTATTACAATGCAGTAAATTACTCTGAATTTCAGACTGTCTAATCTGCACTCCGGGGGCCATTATTTCTTTGGCCAAAATCATTCTATGCATTGGTTAAAGTATCACCTACATAAACTTTTGACATGGAACATAGCAATCCAGACCTCAAAACTATGTACCCATGAGGAAACAATCTCATCTGTGGGGCAACAATTTCATTTCTATGTTCATGTAATGTTAAACCTTCTTGTTTAAGAAGTTAGAAAGAGTTAAAGAAAACCATAGATGGAAATGATCTACCGAGGCATCCAAATCAGGACACACCTAGAATCGATCCCTATAGGAAATGAAACACGCTGCTTGAGAGTGATGGAGGCTGCAGACCAAAGAGCCACCCAATGCGCTTTCTGTGTGGCTCTCGGGTGAAGATTTCCAGGAAGGAACACAAGCAGGTGTTCTTCCTCGCCCTCCTACCCCACGCCCTCTCGACCTTTACCAAAGATCTTGTCCATGGAAGCATCAGAGGGCAACGTGCAGTTAAATATAGAGAACTGCCTCTTGAGTCTTTGGGGTATGTCATTGCGTCCACCACCAGGATGGATCATGGCTGCCAAAAACTGGATGTCCACGATGTTGGTGAACTCCCCAGGCTTCTCTAGGTTATAGAATCCATTTTGTTCCATCAGCTGTCGCACTATCTCATTCGTAACCTAAGAAAGACAACTTTCAGAATTAAAGCATCATTCCT